GTCCTCGAGGTTGTTCCGCGCACATCCTTCTCTCACTTATCCGGTATGATATAGTCTCTACGACTATACTCTTTGGTTACACTCAAACCTTTAACGTGTTTTTATATTTGAGATAAGATCATCTGGAGGTTGTTACCTTAATACTAGTCATTTTTACCTACTGATACCCGGAAATTCCAAATATGTCAATAATCGTACTTGTCGGGGGGAGAACATGAGGGAATCCAAGGATACATAGAAACCAATGTGAGTTTGGAAAATTGCACAATATAAATCTATTCTAGTAGACCTCAACAATGGAATTATGATCAGTAGAAATGGAATGACATGGGACCTTTAAGGTTTTATAAGTTATTACATGAATCCCCCCTTGTACTCTTAGGTTCCTATGTAAAATGTGTTGGCCACAGTCCAGCAGGTATATGCTTATCACCATATCCCATGTCTTTTTATGCTGCTGCAACACAAACATTTCCCAAATTGGGATCAATAAAGTACTTATTGACTGATCTTGTCTTAAATAGACCATAAAAAAGCATCACCTCTCGTCAATTCATTAACAGGAGCAGGACATTTTAACTGAAAAAGATTTACGACAGTGTAAAGTATGGTATACTGCCCTGCATTTTATAACAAAGAACTGGGTTTAAAGTGAAACAGAGGTGAGGCTCTTATTATCAGAGAAGAGGCATTCTGGGCCAGTGGCCCCATTAGGTGCGGGCCATCCAATGATGTTTAAAAAGCTCTCGGGGTGCGGTGGGAGTCCCAGGCCCGGGCCCGTCATGATCCCCCCTCGGTTTTAGCCCAGGCCCGGAAGCAGGCTATTCTCGTCCAGCATTGTGCTGCTAAAGTATTCTAACTCTGTCCATTGTGTCCGAATGCTTTCCATGACTCTCAGCGATTTTAGTGGGTCTGCACCTTAAATCCCTTCCATTATAGAGCGGCAGCGATTTGCTGCGTTTGCTTTTGTATTCATTCGACCCGTCCCTCTCACCCCTCCCGCTAACGTTTGACTTTTCAGCTAACGTTACTACTTTTGCACTGAAACACTGAATACATGTGGGTGTAGCCATGTTCAGATCCGAAAAGGCTCGGTATGGTCACAGCCAAAATAATTCACGATGATGATTTAATCGCAATGGTCCTAGATCCAACAATGAAAAAGTTACTGTAGCATCAAACTGCTGCTAATGTCCTGAGCGCACTTGTTTTTTAAAATACAATCTTTTTTATTACATAAACTTACTACTGCAATGTTTGTAGTCTCTATTTGACACACTCTGAAGTGATTAAGGGCTTTTATTGATGGCACATAATTTATTTAGGACCCTTACAATTTGTTGAATCATGAAATAAAGAAACAATAAAATGCCGGGCTCCAATGTGCTGAGTCATTTATCACAACTATGGGTGAAGATCCAACCGCAAGCTGCTCTGTTAGACACTTGCAAAATGTGGAACATGACAAAATACATGCTTGCCAAATCATCTCTCAACGTGGTATTTATTTAGAGAGACTCTGCTTCCAAATAAGGAAATGGTGACCAAGCGGACCCCCTTGAAAACGAGATGGTGCATCTCAAGGGGTTTATCCCAATAAATACAATTTCTATATACACAACCTGGTATTTTCAAATGTTTACATCCACTTTTTAAAAGAAGTAATGAAACAATAGATATGTCACCCCAGTAAGAGTGCTTTTTCTTGTCAGTATTCTAGGAAGACGGCTCCATGGGTGAAAGATGAATCCCCGGCTGTCGGGCAACTGTTCGAGTGATTCTTCTGCAATGGAGGATGTTTCCCAGCACACCCAGTGACTCACTCCATCGCCTCCGCCTCCTGCTGAATGTGAAAAGCCTAGGATGGAAGACCCACCAAGTGCTGATCTGAGGCACCGGAAAAACGATCTTGACCTCCAACACCAACTCCCCTCCTTCCTTGCGAGAAGAAGCACAACTAGCTGCTTTGCCGCCATCACCAACCAGACAAGGACCACCGCCAACGGGTGACAAGGCTTCCAGGATGTTCGTGAACTTCCGCCGGATACGAAAGTGCCAGTTTATGCAGCTGATGACCACCTGCCTGGTGCTGTCGTTGGTGATGGTTTGCTGGGAGCAGCTGGACAACAGTGTAGTCAGTCACGTCAAGTCCTACTCCTACCGCTACCTGGTCAACAGCTTCACCTACATCAACAAGAGCCTCACCATACCCCGGGAGCAGGCCAAAAGCTTCAGCAACTTCCCCTACCTGCTGGACCACACGGATAAATGCGTCAGCAAGGATGTCCTCCTGCTCCTCTTCGTCAAGACCTCCCCAGAGAACATTGAGCGGCGGAACGCCATCAGGTCAACCTGGGGTAATGAGACCTACATCCAGAACGCCCTGGGAGTGACGGTAAAGGTGGTTTTCGCCTTGGGAGCGTCTCAGGCCAGGAACAAGGTTCCCTCGTGGAGCAAGAGATTTGGCTTTCAGGAGCAGCTCATCAAGGAGGACGGTCTCCACGGTGATTTGATCCAACAGGACTTCTTAGACTCCTTCCACAACCTGACTCTGAAGCTGATCATGCAGTTCCACTGGACTCATAACCACTGCGCTCACGCCCGCTTCCTCATGACCGCTGATGACGACATCTTTGTCCACATGCCGAACCTGGTGAGCTACCTGCAGGACGTGAGCAGCAGAGGAGTCACAGACTTTTGGATTGGTCGAGTGCACAGAGGGGCGCCGCCAATCCGCAGCAAAGACAGCAAGTACTACGTGTCGCATGAGATGTACCAGTGGTTGTCGTACCCCGACTACACAGCCGGGGCCGGGTATGTCGTCTCCAGGGACGTAGCGGACAAAATCTACCACGCCATGCTGACCCTAAACGCCTCTCTTTACATAGACGATGTGTTCATGGGCATCTGTGCCAATGCTGTTGGCGTGTCACCGCAAGAGCACGTCTATTTCTCAGGCGAGGGCAAAGCGCCCTATCACATGTGTATCTATAACCAGATGATGACCTCGCATGGTCACGTGGAGGATATCTACAACCTGTGGAAGGTGGCGACGGACCCGCAGGTGAAGCAGAAGACCTCTGGACTCATAGGGAGGCTTCACTGCGCAGCCGTGAAAATAGCTCTCCTTTGTAAACCGTACTATTTTAACACCTACCCGTGCAAAGCAGCCTTTTTGTAGTACTATGTCAGGTTGCATTTGCAGACAGAGAGGAAGTGTGTCATAGATCATAATGCAAGAAGGATCATGGTTGCAAATATTACCTCAGTCCTTCAGTCGGACACCCATGTGAAAACACTGGAGCCTGTGTTGTGTGTTTCCCGAGTCAAAGACACCACATGATTCCTGCTTGTTCTTTGTTGTGTGTGAGATCTCCAACACTTCAATGATAACTAGTTTTAACCTTTAATAAAACTGGCTTTGCATTTACAGCAGAATGAGTTCTGAATAGTTTTTTAAAAGGTGCTGTTTACATGTAGTCCCAACACCATGCTCAGAAATGGAACAAGACTATATTGAGTATGATAAGCAGAAAATAACACGACGCAAAGTCATGAAATATGGTATGCATATGTTTTGGGTAAGTATCTAACAGTACAGCTTTGCAATGTTTTTTTAACCACATGAAAAATCGCACTTATCAATATTCAAAGTGTGTACTTTTGAAGAAGCTAAGAAAAACACAGAAACTTTTCTAAAATAGCATTATGCTTATATTTTTTATTTAAAACTTGTTTTGAGTTCCAAATACTTGATTGTGCTCCTTCTAGGTACAACCATTTTTTATCGTATTGTTTTTAGTTATTGGGCACATGCGACGAGTGATTATTCTATTAATTTATTTTTCTATTTAGGAACAAACTGTGGTCCTAAAGACAAATACATGTTTCATTTAAGCCCACAAACACAACGTTTAAAACATTCAAGCTCCAATAGTAAAATGCAGAAGTAACACAGTTTTGAGTTCCTGATGTGTAAGTAGGTCAGAGTCAAATCTAAAAATGTCTCCATGTCATAATGTGGGAAATTCCTCACAGTGATTTAGAACAGATGTGTCACAGGCAACATTTCCTGTGCTGCAAATAACAATGATGTATATTAAGGAGCGCAAAAAAGTGTGGACTCTTTTTTTGTAATTAACTTTGTGAAAAGGTTTTTTAATTAAATAAATTCTCCCAAGTTAAAGTCAAAGTGTTTATTATTTCAATTAGTGTTAGTACTTGCAGGCATCAATAATGTCAATTGGTTGACCAATAATAATAATAATGATAAATTCCATTTATTGAATGCTTTTCTGAATACGCCTTGCAAAAGTACAATTCAAACAACAAAGAAGAAATGAAGTAAATGAGATATACACAACAGAAAGCATTATGAACTGGAGGAGTAATGATGCATGTGGGGGAGGGGGTTTAAGAGGGAAATGCAAATCTGAAGGGCTGGGTTTTGAAGGCTTGTTTGAAGGATGATAGGGTTGATGACTGTCTGATGTGGATAGGGAGTGAGTTCCAGAGGAGGGTGCAGCAGTAGAGACAACACTTTAGGAAGCAACTCTTCAAGAAGTAAGGCAATGCAATGCAAGTTTATTTATACAGCACCTTTCAACACAAGGCAATTCAAAGTGCTTTGCAAAAAATGGAAGACATTAAGAAAATGGCATTTAAAAACAGTTATTAAAAATTAAAGATAATAAAATAAACATTAAAAGAAAGAATACATGAATAAAAGTTACAGTGCAGTTTAAGATGTGAATATTTCAATTAAAAGCAGCAGCAAAAAGAAAAGTCTTCAGCCTGGATTTAAAAGTAGTCCAGAGTTGCAGCGGACCTGCAGGTTTCTGGGAGTTTGTTCCAGATATTTGGAGCATAATAACTGAACGCTGCTTCTCCATGTTTAGTTCTGACTCTGGGGACAGAAAGGTCTGCGGTTGACACAAATTGAAGAGACGGATCACGTTTTCTTTTACGACATTAAATACATCAGCAGTGGTGATTTTTGAAGAGTTTATTAGTCTGAAAAACGATGGTTGTTAACTCAACCATGTAAGTGGCTGAATAGGACTACAGAAGTTGTCGAGGACGCTGTACGTCATTACGCCAAACTATTCCTTTAATCTCAATTTGTTTTCAAAAAAGGGAACAAATGGTTAATTTAGGGAACAGACATTATCATTTATTACTAAAAGTCCAGATGAATAACCATTACCTACAGTGCTGAATTCAAACTTTCTCTTTAAAACAACAAAAGGAACATATAAACACACTTACTTAAAGGCAGCCAGAAAGATCAGACTTGTTTTTTTTGGGGGGGGGGGTTAGGTAAATTATCTTCTACTTCTGATCCACTGACAAGTGTGTTCACATTCATAAGTGTGTTTGTTTTACACTTTGACCACATAGCTTTAGACAGGAAGCGAAACACAATGAAAAGCACATGCAGAACGGATAGATACGGATATGGGCATAAACGGAGCAATGCTCTGAAACCAAGTGTGCGAGATGCAAATCACTCAAATGTTTGCCCTTCCTCTCCACAGCAACAGTTTGCATAGCAGCAGTGCGGGTGGAGGTGCTGCACACGCCTCATTACTGTGCAAGTGCAAACATAGTGCATGAAGGTACTCCACTATTTACAAGCCAAACATCTTTATGACTAAAGGCATAGACTCTCTCAGCGTGTGAGCTGGAATACCGCTCACTATGATTTATTTTCCCTCATCTGACATTTGATATGTGGAGCCAAAAATACCCCTGGCATCGGCGAGAAATTCATCAGCGTCTGATCCATGGAGGCATTTGGCACACTGCTAACACTAACAACTCTGGTTACTTCTGGTCCTGTGTCAGTGCTCAATGTCATCCACCTCCACAGAAAAAACTAAACTGAAACAACAAAATGATTTTTCCATTGTGTGACTGATTAAATAAAAAATACAGAACCCTTATTCATGTTTCCAATATCAGTAACAACCAAGTTTCTTCTCTGAGAATATTTAATGTTTAGTCTCAACTGTGTGAATAATTTTTTTCTTTTGACATCCTTAGGTCAACGCATCCCTCTCTACACCTCGACTTGCTGTGAGTTGTCGATATGTTTATTTTCTCTCGAATGTGATGTTGCCTGGATTAGCTGTTCTCCAAACAGCTGCTCTGTTTCCAAGGCAACACATAAAGAAGAAGAATTCAAACAAAGGCTTTAGACAGGCCTAAAAACACAAGCAGCTGCCTGCCAATGTTCACAAACTGGTATTAATATAGCAAGATAAAGATGATTAAAATGTGATTCTATTCATTTAAATTACAAAATCTGATAATTTAATGTGTAATAATATGGGAGATGTTTAGTCTAATTTCCCTTGGAGATAGAAAGGGTTTTGTTATTTTTAGATTAACTAAATTGATCATTAGAGAGGTGGCCTGTGAGGAGTCGCTGACTTTAGTCATCAGAACAATGAAGCTCATCTTTAGTCCCCTCCTGAGAGGTGGCTTAGCAAAAATAATTGTGCTGAGGAAGTTGACATGCTAGATATAATTGCACACGGCACTGGTCAATGTGCCAGCTAAACCCCACAGGCATGCTATAACTATAGCTTATTATAAAAAGGACTTGAGAGAGATGTTAACATTTATAATTGGCAAAACACAAAAGTTCATATTATGTAAATAGGTCAAATCCAGTGACTTTAAACTGAATAGTTTGACATTATTGTACAATTATTTGCTTTATAATCAAGACTTTTAAAAAAGAACATTGATACCCCTCTTAGACATGTAGGCCTATGCTAAATATGTAGATAGAACTAAAAGATGGTTAGCTTAGCTTAAAGACTGGAAACAGCTAGCCTAGATGTGTCTCAGACACTTTTGCTTCTGTCAGACACAGTGTCTGACTGTGGAGAACCAGATTTGTGTAAATTACTGTTCATGGTCAGGCACACACAAACACACCAAACACACACACACACAGAGCGGAGCTGAGCACAAACACACACACATCATGCGCCCTGATGACCGGACATCTCCTTCATAAAACGAGTAATAGGGGGAATACTCTGGTAGTTCGATGTGTGTGTGGTTAAACGTAGCAGCCTCGATCTCTATTCAGCTGTTCTAATGAAGGGAAACACAGTGAAGTAAACAGTAAAAGACACAGCTCTTTGCACCCTGCTGAAAAAACCAGTTTAGACCAACAAGCCAGTGAATATTAGGCTGGATTAGTTTGCTGGTTTAGAGGGGTTTTGGACACTTTAGCTGGTTTGGTCACAGTGGTCTAGCTGGTCAGGATAGCTGGTTTGGTCACAGTGGTCTAGCTGGTCACCATTAGCTGGTCGGGATAGCTGGTTTAGCTGGTAAAAGCTGGTGGTCAGTGTTCTAGCTAATCACCATTAGCTGGTCAGACTGGTATGATAGAGTATAACTTTAGCTGGGATTACTTCTTTTTTTTAACATTTATATTTTATTAAACATTTTCAAAAGACAAAAATAAACGGACAAGGACATGGCTCACACACATTACAAATAGGACAGGACATAACATGAAGGGTGGAGGGTAGGGGGATTACAGTATAAGTTACATTTTAAGTATGCATATGGCGTTGTATTTATACATGATTTGCTTCATANTCAGCTCATCATGGGCGTTCTCTTTAACCTATTACATTCACCTCATTCTCCAGCAGCCAATCACCGAGCTGCAGCCAAACTTTAAAATGGTTCTCCTCTCTCCTGAGAGGAGAACCATTTTAAAGTTTGGCTGCAGCTCGGTGATTGGCTGCTGGAGAATGAGGTGAATGTAATAGGTTAAAGAGAACGCCCATGATGAGCTGATTATAAGCAGCTGCGGACTGAATGTATAGCAGTCTTCCTGAAAGAACTTACACTAAGCTTCATTTCATCAGGAGAGACTTCATTTTTACAAGAACATTTATTGACACATGTCACATGATACATGTTAAGTCTTTGGCGATTAGACCCCGATCCTGAAATCCTATATCTAAAGGGGGAAATGCAGCCATAAGCATATAGGGAACCCCCAAAAAAGAGGAAATTTAATTAAATATAAGGAGATCGGACCACTTGACGAAGGATCTTAACTTACCAGGTGGCATTTCATTTCATCTCAAACCTTTATTTAACCAGGTGGTCCCATTGAGATCATCAATCTCTTTTCCGAGGGAGACCTGCAGCAAGTAGGTTACGACATGAAAACATGAACGACAGAAACAATAAAGGANGTTTAGTATGTGTATTCACTCTCTGTCCTACACGGCTTGTTGGAGCTCCTGCCCCCCCCTCCCTGTGAGCACACTGTGCTCTGATTGGTCAGCTCGCCCACTATGTTCTGATGAGTCCACCACCGTTACAGCGGAACATCAGTGATTATGTGTTACAATGGCGTTAGCAACCAGAAAATGACACCAGTAAGGTGCAGA